TCTCTTCTGCCATTCCCAGGAGTGCGAAGTTTTCCTGGCTACTCGGACAGTCAGTCAACATGGTGACAAGCAGGACAAGAATATGCTACATACCACGAAGATACTCTTGTAGCCCTCATCTGACTCTTTGTACTCTTTTGTTCTGCCAACTTCACACGTCCTGCAGAAGTAGTTGCAATGCAGCCCTGCATGGCTACATTCCTCGGCCTGCATGGGATTGTCGCCACTGAGAAACACCATATAGCTCCAGCATAACTTCTTCTTTGTGCTTGCAGTCCCAAGTGAAGACTCCAGATTCCGCAGCTTTCCTATGATCACCAGCATCATGTTTCGCTATAGCACATTATAAGTATCACGTACCTAATTGATTCTTGCATGGTGCTCATCATCTCCATTGGGGCTGCGTGAGGAGACATGTGACGAATCAAATGCAAAACTCTTTCTCAGCATTTCGCGAGGTAGATTCACGTTCACATGTACACTGCATGGTGCTTGTTCCATTGCTTGGATATATTGCCGGATACGTTGTCCATGAAGATTATGAGAGGGACCGAATACACCATATGTCCTTGGGATTTCATGCGCAAAGGATTCGGCATGAGTTTCGCATACTTGTGTGATGACTCCATCAGCCCACAAGCGAGTTCGTTGTCATTGGCAGATATTTCCCTGAAAGACCTTTGAAAGTTAGATGTTGGAATCATCTCCTGCTCGTCACTGACAATAAACCCATCCTAAGTCTATCAGTAAAGTGAAAGTATGCAAGAACGGACTCACCTCTGTTTGTTGTACAGCGCGGCCAAGTGCATGTAGCTGCTTGTCCGCACCATCATTCGTCGACGAGTACAATGCAAAAAGAAGCGCTCAGGTATAAAGTAGTCTCCCGACGCATCCTGCAAGAGCTCATTCACGAAGTAAATCTCTCCATCAACTTTTGCTGCAGGGGGCGAAGGGAGTTCAAACAGCATTTTCTCTCCATTGAACACCTGCGACATTCCCTTGCCGCCATCTTCAGGGTAATCCTGCATCACAAAATGTGTGAGGGGGTTTTTGCATAGTCCTAAATGAGAACATTCAATGTCAGTGTTGAGAGAATGAGATCATGTTGTAACTGCGTACCTTGGCGATGGCTTTTCCAACATCATTGAGATAAAATATATTGCCCGACGTGCAGTTATCTTTCCGTTGGATTGCCGACAAGCGTTTTGAACAGATTCCCTGGAGCCGATTCAATGCGTATAGCGAGGGAACATCATGGGCACCAAGTTCCTTTGCCCCAAGATAGAACCGCCTTTTCTGCGCCTCAGAGAATGGCAGCCTTGGAGAACTAAATAGTAATGCGGTAATATAGTGCTTAAATGATAGGTTAGCAGTGGAAATGCACAAAGATGTTGAAACATACAGCTTTTGATGGCCAGGGATATTTGGATTGTCAGGCGAAACTGGACAGTTCAAGATTGTATCATGCGAGGCGGTCAATGTACAATCATCTAATGATGTAAATAAGCCCTCCTGCACGGAATGAAACAGTGTCTCACCTAAAAGTTCAATCCCAAAGTCTGATTCCATCTCATCATCAAAGCCGATCTCTTCACTCGCTGGGGCGAGCAGCATGGAAAATAATTGCTCCCCAAAGCAAGGGCAGACTGCAACTCCTCGTACAAATCACATGTCTCGTTGACTTGGTAGAAAGGACTGCTTGAGATTGCATCCCAGAGATCAGCGACTGGTACTACTTTGTGGTCTGGTCCATGTGTATCCAGGATATGGACAGCATTGTCGACGTCCATGGCGCTAGAAGTAAAATCTGAGTCACCGTCAGCAGGTGAAGGTAAATGTTCTGCTTCATGATGGCACCGCTGCCTTCATTGTTGCTGCTGGGAAAGAGCCTTCAAGCCCATTGATGTCCAGGCCCTGGCATGATGCTGATGTAGGCCAGTGGCAACATGCTTCAGTACATGCTTGGAATGCATGGTGCGGCAGAGTATTATCACGCTTCGGACACACGTTGCAAAACAACCTGAGATGCTCCGCAAAACTGCAAGACTGCATTTAAACATCAGTAAAACGCTATTCACGTTGAGCACAAAACTTACTTATACCGTCAACAGACCACAGTGCGGCAGACATGGAACCTTTTGTCGAGTGATTGGAGTGCGATAATAATAGACTTGCGATTCTGAAGGTGACTGTTTTGGATCACGTGATTTCTTGGGCGAATTTGGCAAGTCCAAACGGTCAGCTTGAGAGCGCTTAAGTCCCATCAACAGTGCTGAGGCCTGGAGGCATCATGTCAATTCTTCAACCTCATCAATTCTCAAGCTCAATCTTCTATCCAGATATGCGACTCGCTGAATCAAAAGATGTCATTCTACAGCCGTTGTCACTCTTGGTATGGTTTTCAGGTGCAGTACCTTGTCACCTCGCTCATTCGAATATTGTATGTGATCTGATTTTCTTGAATAATGGCTACCTTTACTGACAGATGTTCTATAGCCTATTGAAATGTCTGTGTCTTTGAAAGACGAATACAAATCATTCACGGTACCGGTAATGAGGATAGCATCTCAGCAGCCTCATCCCTCAATAATGTATGTATCTGCACCAAACTCTTGCAACAAGACTGACAGTGTGTATCTGTAGTCTGCGACTTTCAGTCAATCTTACTCTGTAACTGATAACGACGTGTCATTTCCTTTCCTTCCACTTCTGCCAACATTCGACCACACGGATTCTGACCACTGGGCGGAACTATTGGACAACATCCAATCATGGCTCGTGAAATCTGTGGATCCGAGTACACCTGAATGGGCTTGGGGGCTGGGAAGTGTTCTGGTATGCATTCATTGCTACCTATCCCGACTTCCCAGGCAGGAAATGGTCCTTCTGGGATTCTAGCATTTCCCTCAAGGGCCAATTTATCAAGGAGTGGGTGGGAAGCGGCGGCATTTTCAGTACAGTCATCGACGACGACAACAGCGAGCTAGCCACTGTCTCTACACACACTGATACCCTGGACTACATTCGGACTGAATTTTCGAGGCACATCACGCTTTTTTATCCCCATCCTTTGGTTTCTACTTCATGATTTTTCCTCCATTGAACAGTCTGGGACATTTAGCATGATATGTAGGGCGCCATATTGTATCATGTCTGCATTTCTATGTCTTGTCTAGTGATGTGCACAGCCTGGCCTCAAGCCGTGGGCCAGGCCAGGCTGGGTCCATATAGGCCAGGCCAAAGTCATGGCCTGACCAGGGCTTTGGCCTGGCCCATGATTCTGAAAAGCCAGGAGCCGGCAGCTCAGGCCATGGCTTTGAGAGTATTTTGGAAATGTTTATGTAAAAATAGAATGAGCACAAATTGGTTCCTGATGTCGAGCACAATGGTCGCTTCAAGACTCGACTTTGATGACACAACAATGTCTGTCTAATATATGTCACGCTAATCATTATTTACTATTTACTGAGTTGCAGGTCCACTCCACGGACATCCCGCGCAACATTCTCTGGCTTCGATATTCGTCCAACATGTGATGTGTTCACCTGATCTTGACTTAACATTCTATTGCAGCTCTTTGTTCAATGTTCAGGCATCAAAAGCTCGTCAAAATCTTGAATATATCTCCCTATGCTACTCGAACTCGAGCACATTACTCGATGTCTTCCTTCCTGCTCATCTCATCCATCTCCTCTCCCTCATTCTCCTCCTCGCCTTCTTCCCTCCTGAGTCCTGCTCTCATTCGTCATCCGCATTCGTCTGAGCCACGTCAGCAGTTGCTGACGTGCACTGGGCGTTTGCGCATGGTGTTTGCGGTGTTGGGAATGGTGTGGTGGAGCTTGCCCGTGTCGATATCCCACAACCTGACTCCACCATCATCACTCCCGCTGACCGCCTTCTTCCCATTGGGAGACAATGCTGTGGTTCATACATTTCTCTGTATCGTTTCACAGGCTATAAGACTTATAGTTGACATTATAGTTTTAGATTCAGAGGCTGATAGATAGACGCCAATAGGAGAGAATAGAACGAATTAATTTCTGGATATCTCCTAAGTCCTATATATTCTCTTTACTCTCCGACGATCTCAGACACTCCAAAGTTCCGCTACCTTCGGCTTATCGACTAAGGGTGAGCTCGGCTTGTTATTCTCAACACTCCCCCTCAAGCTGAAGTCATGCCTAAGTCGCTGACAAATTTGCAGTGCTTCAGCTTATGTAACGACTTTGTCAGAACATCTGCCACCATATCATCGGTGCAGCAATACTGTTCGTGGATTACTCCATCTTGTATTTTCTGCCTGATATAATGATCTTTTACATCAAAGTGCTTGGACCTTGAATGATATTGTGGGTCTCTAGCAATTGCCAATGTGGACATGTTATCGCCATGGAGAACGGTTGGAGCATCCTGAGGTATGTTTAATTCCTCAAAGAGGTTCCGAAGCCATACGGCCTCATGTGTTGCATGTGCCATCGCAGTGTATTCCGCTTCTGTCGATGAGAGGGATACTGTGTTTTGCTTTTTGGAACTCCAGGTAATTGCTCCTCCTCCCAGTTTGAATACATATCCTGATATCGATAGTTGGTCTCTAGGATCGTTCGCATAATCTGCATCCAACCATCTGACGACTTGAATTTGCCCTTTATCAGGTTTTCTGGTCCCTTGGTACTTGATTCCAAGTTCTCGCATTCCAGCTAAGTATCTTAATACACGTTTTGCTGCTACCCAATGCGCTAATCCTGGGTTTGCAGTAAACGAGCTAAGTCTTTGAATAGCGTATGCGATATCTGGACGCGTCGCTACGGCCAAATACATCAGCGATCCGATCAGTGACGCATAAGTATTACTCCGGTTGCCTTCCTGGTCTGTTGCTTCTTTTTCGAGCATAATTTTTGGATCTAATGGCATACCTACTGAATTACTCGACTCTAGACCTTGTTTTTGCAGGATCGATTCAATATATTTTGTTTGCGAGAGTTTAATCGACCTGTTCAGTCTATCTCGCATTATTTCGATCCCAACAATCTTTTTCGGTTCTCCAAGGTCAGTAATATCGAGTATACTCTTTAGTTGCTCTTTTAATTGATCCATCAGACTCAAATGGTCTGCGAATAGCAACAGGTCGTCAACCCAGACGGTTATTATTTCCGTCCCTTTTTTGGATTCTCTGATGCAAGTGCATGGATCCGACTTTAGTCGTCTGAATCCGATTTTTGTTAGGCGTCCATTTAGTTCAAGGTTCCATTCTCTACCCGATTGTTTAAGGCCATAAAGGGTCTTCTTTAATCGGCATACTCGGCCAGTTCTGTCATCATAGCCTTCAGGCTGTTTCATGTATACTTCTTCTTTGAGTACGCCGTTTAGGTATGCTCCTTTTACGTCCATCTGCTGTACTTCCCAATCGAGGGATGCGGCTGTGGACATTACTGAACGTATCGTTTCTAGACGCACGACTGGTGAAAAAGTATCTGTGAAATCCATGCCCGGTATCTGTGAGTACCCTTTGGCTACCAACCGCGCCTTGTATTTGATTATTTCCCCTTCTTTGTTTGTTTTCTTTACTAGGACCCATTTATTTCCTACTAAGGTGCGATCTTTTGGGGGGTCAACCAATTCCCATGTACCCATTTGTTCTAATTGAGCGAGTTCAGTTCGTACCGCTTCTTCCCACTTTGGCCACTCATCTGACACTTGCACGTCCTTTAGTGACTTTGGCTCATGTGGTTCGAAGCTGCCGTTTGCCATGTAGGTGGCTAGAACTACTTCCTCTTCATAGAGCTCTTCGTCAAGCTCATGTCTTTCATGTGCAAGGTACGCCCATTCTGGTTCTGTGTCATTTAATTGGCGATAATCCTGTCTCACCGTCTGTCTCTTTGTTCTTCTAGGTGGTTCTATTTCATCTGAATCTGTCAGGGGACGTTTCCTCTTTGGAGTTGAGTTGTTTTTGTCTTCTCCCTGCAGATCTTCACGCTTATTTTGATCTTTAGGATCCTCTATGGCATCTTTAGGTAATATAGCGCTATTTTGTGATGTCTGCGCATCTTTCCCTTCTAACTCCCCCTCGCGCTGCACACCATGTACTTGCGCGATGTTATTTAGGAACTTATAGTTCCTTGATACGCGGATTTGGTGCATCCGTGTATTATAATATTTAATTGCTCTTGGCCCATCCGCAAATCCAACAAAGATTTGTTTTACAGATCTTGGGCTCATTTTCGATTGATTTGTGCCCTCTTGGAGCACATATACTGGCGCACCAAACTCCTGTAGGTGAGTTATATTCGGTTTTTTACCATTCCATAGTTGTTCTGGTGTCATGCCTTGTAGCGCTCGCGTAGGCGCGTGATTTCTTATATATGCGGCATGTGATACCGCTTCCGCCCATAAAGACTCCGGTAAGTCCTTTGCTATTAGCATTGCTCGTGCGAGCTCTGCTAACGTTCTGTTTTGTCTTTCAGACATGCCATTTTGCTCTGGTGAGTAAGGCGCTGTCGTCTGAAGTTCTATCCCCTCATTTTTACACCATGTTATTAGATCATTATTGATATATTCCGTTCCATTGTCAACTCGGAACCTTTTCGGTTGGTCTGTCCAACGCTTCTTTAGGTACATTGCATACTGTTTTACTTTGGTGGACGCTTCATTTTTATTCTTCATAAATTCGACGCTGCACCTTCGGGAGCAGTTGTCGGTGAAGGATATATAATATCTTGATCCACCAACAGATTGTACCCGCGCTGGTCCCCAGACATCACTATGTGTTAATTCGCCGAGTGATTTGGAACGTTCGTCTTTTGCATGTGGGAATGAACTTCTCGCATGCTTTGCTTGGATACAAGCTTCGCACTGTGGCATAGGTGAGTTATCGTCTAATACTTCCATTCCTTCTACTAATCCTTCTCTATATAGGCGTCTGAGGCCGCTATAGGCTACATGGCCATATCTTTTGTGCCAGGTGAGCCAATCTGCGGGTATATTTTCACGAGTGTTATAACTTTTTATTGTTTTATTTAGTTGCGCTCGGGTATTTTTTAATAAATATAACCCGTTTTGTAGCTCTCCTTTGGCTATTATGTGTCCTCCTCGTGCTTTTAGAGTTATCCCGCCATTTCCCATAATTGCATGTCCTCCCTCTCTGTCTAGACGGGTCATAGACACAAGGTTATTTGTTGCAGTTGGTACATACAATACATTTTTTAATTTGCACCTTATTTTTTGTTTACCTACACTGCTCACGAGTTCAACCGTTCCTCGCCCTTCAGCCTTAATAGACTGGTTACTAATACCTGTAACCTTATGGGATTTTAATGGAACATAATCTGTTAATGCGGATTTAATCTTCATGATGTGTGATGTGGTGCCTGAGTCAGCAAGCCAATCGCACGTGATCAACTTCGCTGCTTTACCTTGGCTATAATTTGCCTCGGTTTGAAGTCCATCGTTTTGTTCATCGATGACCTCTTCCATATCGTCGCCAACAAAAGCGACATCCTCCTCCTCGTAATATTGCGTGTCTTCGACAATGTCTTCAACGATGTCTTCGACGACATTCGCGTTGTCTTTCCTTGCACGCTTAAAAGGAGGCTTTGACGGTCCTGCGCCCACCTGTCCGCCACCCTTGCTCCAGCACGTTTCAATAGTGTGCCCACTCTTATGGCAGTTGGAGCATTTGGTCTGCTTGTCCTTGAACCAGCAGTCCTTTTCAAGGTGACCGGACTTCTTGCATACTCCGCATCTCTTCATTTCCTTCCTTTCTCTCTTCTTTTTCGGATTCTTTTCCTTCATAGTGAGCGCACTCTCTTTTCCTTTTCCTTTACCATTGAGCTTTTCCTTCCTTCGCGCATTCTCCTCCATTATTAAGGAGATTAACTCATGCGAAGTAATCGCTGTCGCGTCACCTATCCTGTTTTGATATGTCGTCGTGAAGGTGTCCCAAGACTCGGGCAAAGATGAGATAAGTACTGTGCAGAAGTCGTCTTCTGCTACTAAACTTCCCATCATATGCAGGGTCTCCTGGATCTCCCTCATGTGCTTGACATGTGTTGGGATATCTTCGTCATCGTCGGCAAAAGTTCTATAGAACTT